TGTAATACGTGTCATTGGAATATGGAGCAACATCCTGAACGATTCGAGTTAGTCACTTTCATTTGCCTCTTATTCATATTACCTGCAGATAGGAACGAATCAAATTGGTTTCATTTTATCTTTCAGATGAATTGTATCCAATTAACAGTTCACTGTTGCAAATTGATAGTTTTATTTTCGTTTACAGTTTAATTTTTGTATTCCATTTGCAGTCTAACACCATTGGCCGTGATCAGCGAGTTGCGTCAAGGAGTCGTATGTATGCATTTACAGGAGACATTAGGGCGTTTGGTAACGGTTGGTTTAGATCGTGTTATTATGATATGGGATGTGAAACAGTTAGTGGGTAATTGATACGTACGTGTTCGATTGAGAAATAAAATTTGAGCGAAAATTTTGTGATTTTTTAGAATTTGTAACATTGTGAAATTATCATTGTTTCTGTTATCATTACCGTATTGTTATCTTTATGGTATGATCATTGTAAAGTGAGTAATGAGAAATATCATATGATGATATCTTATTTATTTTGTATTCTTTTCCCGTGGAAGAGCGCCTTGATACTTGTGTTTTATTATGAAAATTTTTTTTTGAGAAAATTCTGTAGATATAAATCATCTAAGGTATTTTGTATTGTTTGAGTAGATTTTTATTTTGTAATTTATTTGGAGTATTCGTCAGTAATTGATTGCATCAATAAGTTTCACATGTTAATTATTTTTTGAAAGTTTTTTGGTTGGTGAAATTATATGAAATTCTCATTTGCTTACGTATTGTGAATGCATTCGTTGTCGACCTGATGTGAATCGACATATCGTGTTGTGAGTTATCATCAGCAGCTGCTCTCTTACTATTGTTTTTACGAAAACAATGGGAATTATTTCAATTTCATTCCGGTGTTCTAATAGTCACACTGGAATGAAAACAATTTGCTGCATGCAACTGTATGATTTTCGAGTGTGTATGGTTGGGCTTTTCGAATTTAACATCGAGAAATTGAACGTCTCCATTTATGAAACCTATTGTAATTGTCCGCAGAGGATTTCAGCTGATCGTGAGAGGGAAATCTCAGAATAGAATTTGACGTCTGTTTAATGAAAGGATTCAGAAGAAATGTTCTGACGGTTTAAAAACACTATTTTTTTTTGTTGCAGATGCCTTAAGTTGAATATTTTCTTGTATAATACGCGTACTTAATGAATATATTACTGATTGATAATGATATAAATTACCCGAATATCTGTTAGTCTTGTTTTATTCGACAACTTTTCATCTGTCAAATAAATGCGATTGTGATTATAATGCTAAGAAATTGTAAAGTTGATAGATTTATATTGAAATGTTTCACTTGAACAATTAAATGTCTCATAAATTTATGGAAATTGTAAACAATTGATTAAAGAGTTGAAAACAAAGAAACCCTTAATTTGTTGCTTTGTTTTATACTTATATTGTTCGAACATTGAAATTTTCTTCATGTTGAATGAACTGTGATAAACTATTTTATATATCAACGAATGACTTTTGTGGATTTGATCAAAGCAATAACATTTCTTCCGTCTTGTTAGAAGAGGGACACATTCAGCGATCGTTTCTTATCATTGTCACTAACCACTAGTACTATCAAAAATATTGTTCCAACATTAATGATATTGGTACACCACTTGGTTTCGAGCAAAACTTTCCTCCGCGAACGGGAATCGAACCCGCGATGCAAAGTGGAATTTTGATCACAATGATTAAAACTATTGTTCCCACAATAATTTTTCACCATTCTAATTAAAATTCCACTTTCCAGTATTATCTACCAATCGTTTGATGATATTCAATATTAAAATTGTCAAATTTTTTCTTTAAACTTATATTCTGAAGAAACAAAACCTTCACTTATCATCCGATACACTCGTCAAATCACTTCAGTTTCACCCGCCAGCAACTGCTCAGTTCCCTTTTCAATTCGTTAATTATCAAAAAAGCCATACCCGCTAATCCAGACAGGTATATTAATGAAATTGAAGCCAACAAATACAATTAACCGTTAATGAATTTGCAATTTTATACACCATTTTACTCCGTAATCGTATATGTGAAATTTCTCTTTCATTGAACTTAATACGAATACTTTGCAAAGCGATAACAAAAACGTTTCAAAACAACAGTGAAATATAACCGCAACAATATCGAGACCAACGGTAACAATGACGATACAATAGAATATCAAAACTGATAACTCGGATAATAGAATCAACACGATCTCGTCAACAATAATAATAATATCGAGGTAACAATTAATAACAACAATGCAATGAGAACATTCGCGATGATACAAACAACAACAAGTAAACGAATAAGATTAATGACATTGGTACACCGATCGTTTCCGAGCAAAACTTTGCCCCATCAGCGGGAATCAAACCCGCTACAAGAAAATCAACACAATAACTTCAACAACATCAATTTGAGACTGTTCTAACATATTCAGAAAGCATTCATCCACATAGAAACAAACCCACCTTTACTTCTCATCAATAAAATAACGAGCTCCCTCATTTTTCCATGGAAATTTTCATCGTTCAAGTCAAAATTTAAAAAAGAACAACAAAACAACTTCATTGAATAAGACAATCGATTCATTATGAAATACCATTCAATTGAATATTTTTCAAATGCCTTCTCCTTTCACGTTCGATTGAGATACGTTCCCATTGGGTGCAATGTTCTGCAGTTGGCATTGTGAATTCACTTCTGTGGATTAACAACGGTATCGGTTTACCTCTTAAGGGCAAACGATTTCCGTGTTCTGGATTCAACTCACCAGTCCTGAGGATAGCCATTCGAGACATAAAGATAACCGCGAATCCAGTCATGAATGAATCCATCCCTGCTCGGTGACATCCTAAAAATGCAAACACTCACATTTATTAGGCAAAAAAATGTATCAGTCACAAAAATGTATCATTCAATAGTAAATCAACCATTCAGTAGTAAAAGTTGACCCTACAACCTCACTCCTGATCATAACTAGAATAAAAAATTATTTCCTTGACCAGGTAACTGATCAGATAGAATAAATATACAACTTTCCATAATGACATTTAAATAAATCAATTAATCGCCGCAATAAAATCAAAACTTCCCAAACTGGTAGCAATACTGCTGCCTAATAATATGAAAAGTAAGTCAAACTGCTCGAGAAAGAACATTTTACGGAATACAAACCAATGGCAGCTCGTTTGAAATCATCGAACGATCGAAGCTGTGCTTCTGTGTTATTCATTTCAATTTCATTCTCTATCGACCCATTCAGATGACCATTCGTTGCGTCCTCCGAATTTTCTGAACACTTTCTTGAGCACGATGTAGACTCTGCTCCTTTTGGCTCTGTCTCATCTGACCGCAACAATTTTGATGCGTAATCATAACGTCGTTTACGTCGTTCTCTTACCTGCAGTAATCATCACTCTGTAGTCTTCACTATTCTTATCGTTTCAATTATCATCATCATGCTTTAATACATCATTGAACCTATAGACAACTTTCAAATACTACCTTGGGTGAAATGATCTATTGCAAATTATTCACTAAAACATTAATCTTTCCTAGAACAGCATCAATAACATCAAATATTCATATATAATATCTGTTAACTTTATGTTATCCAATCCGATATCCATTGAGAATAAAAAATCAGAATGGATTAAACGATCAAACGATTAAACTTCAAACGGACCTTTGATTGTTTCTGCTCTTCCAAATCCAAAACCAAATCAATATTATGCGACAGATAACATCTTCGATTCGAAGGGCAGAAACCAAACGCCGCATACTTCTTACATATCATTTGCGCATCTTTATCGTTCACACTCCTCGGGATAATTACCGGTTCTCTGAACTCTTCAGGTAGTTCACAGTTGATTTGTTCGAATGATTTTTGGTCGTTGTTGATGCCGTTGATGAAATTTGTTCGCAACAAATCCGAATCGAAATCAACACTGATGTAGGCACGTGATGAACTAGCTTCGATTGCATTGTCTCGCTGACTGCAAAATAAAATCTGATAGTTTCAAATGAACTGTCAAAAATCAACTTCAAAATCATTCTCCAGGATCTTAGAAGCTGTTTCATTCCAGAATGCAGATGAAATTCGGGAATGCACTAATTCTTAGATTATAAAGAGAAATGGAATTTTATCGAAATTTATACGAATAAATCAAATGAATCGAAATTCATACGAATAAATCAAAAATTTAAACGAATCAAATCTATCAAACGGAGCAATCATATAATTTTGTTAACAGAATTGAAAGTGATTTGTCAAAAATCAACTTCAAAATCGACTGTTCATGCTTCATGAGGTTCACAGTAAGATAACAGCACTAAAAACGAATGCAATAACAGTAATTGTGATAACAATAATAACAGTGACAATATTATAATCTCAAAAACATTAACGCCTATTTGCACTACTAAAAATTTTCATTTCACAAAAAACCTCTCTCCAACTCACCATTTCCTGAAAACATATTCCAAATACGAAGCATTCATCCGCGCCACAAATTCGGCTAAATACTTCGAGTCGTATAATCCAGGTCTGCCTTCATCTCCGTCCAACATGAACCAATCCGATAAATTCACGACAAAATCGTCCAAAGTTTCGGGAAGCGTCGAATAGAAATGTTCGTATATGAACGCCAAATCGATCAAGCCATTATGAAAGGCAATCGGTATCGATGAACACAATATTTCATTCCACAGAATTCTTAACGAATCTTTCTGCGAATATGTTCCGTATCCCCCAGAAAAACCATTCTGCAACAACGACGAATTATATTCGAAAATCATTGACTGTAAGAAGTTGAATGCTGAGGAAGAAGTGAAAATTTTGAATGAATCTATCAGAAATAAAAAAGTTACCTTTCCAGATGCACCGCAATCATGACTAGCATACGGGATACCCAGTTTGATCAAACGATTGAAGTCGAAACTATGAGAGGCCAAGAACTGAAGACCATCCGGTTCAACAGTGAAGGCCGACGCGCACAAAGTGAGAATATTGAAAACCTGAATTTTTGGCATTTTAAAGTATTCAATTCAAAGATTATTCTCATAAAATCTAGATGGTGAGTTAAGACCAGATCAATCTCAGACTTGTTCTTAAGCTCAAGCTTCTACCTGGATTGGTCTGAAACTTCACAATCAGGGCATTTGGAAAACCGAATACTTCGATGGCACATCAAACACAGATGATAATAGTAACAACGGTCAACCATACCTGACACTTGTATTTGATCCGTTTTTTCGTCTCAGTTTCTTTACGCTTCACCAACTGGAATGTCGTCAAACCAATGGAGAGAATTGCACGGCTTTGAGCAGATTTCCGGATCAATTTGTAGCGATCATTTATCGACTGAGATAACCATCCTTTCTCAATACCCAAGCCACTTAGCTCCTGATGATAGTCTCCGTTTATATTAGTTTAGTGATGAGCAGTTCAGTTTTACAAAGCGGCAGCAGAGCTCTATCATAATATCGAGAAATAATAATTAAATGATTCCAGTGAAATGAAAGAAAACAATATACCAAATCGACTGAAATGAATGAGGAGTTTTTAATTGAAACAAGTAGATAGGTCCAGAGTTGATTCAGATTATCCTTGTTTATCTCCAGAACCGGGATTGTCGAAATACGACCACGATGACTCCGAAGGTCCACGACGGTTGCTGCATCAGCTGATATCTTCTGTGTGCCATCACCACTCGAAGACGATGGTTTTATCTCGTGGTGGCAATCGAAATCAAGCATCTGACGCGTTCGAAAAGCTCCCTCTGAGAACATAAAATGTATTGCATTCAACTTGACACTTTCATATCAGTCATAATTAAAATCTGCAGAAATATTTCTTGAGAACCCAGTATCTAATACTATATTTCAGAAAAATACTGCCACACCAAAATCCGTAATCCTGCAGTACAGATCAAGGAAAAAGGGGTGTGATCTAACACACTGAACACGCCTTAGCCATCGCACGCATGAAGGCATTCTGCCACAGCTACATTCGCACATATACAAATGCTTTCCGGAACAATGAGAAGTACTTCAACTGAACAACTGAATAACTCAGTTCGAGTAAATAAACATGCTTGCAGCTAAGTGTCGTCCATGCAACGAGAAATAAACCAATGATAAACACTAAACAACAATTGGTCGACAATTGTTGTTTAGTGTTTATCATTGGTTTATTTCTCAAACAACAACAACAACAATTCCCAGAGTTTGGATTCATATTACGGATATATTCAATTTACCTGAGGTGAAAATAGAATACAATCAAGAACTGCAAATTTGTTTTCGAAGCTGAAGAGTATTGACCTAGTGTGCACTATAACTCACACCCATACTAATACCAACCGAAATGAATCCGTGCTGAATAGCAATACAGACACAATGTATTGAAATGAGCCATTCAGCTACGTGAAATGGCTTTAGAAAATCGTTGATATTAACATTTTACACCGATGTGTTCTCAATATAACGGAATTTCGCAGTAGGCTTCTGAATGTACCGCGTAGAAAAGAAGTCATCTAACCTCGAGGGTATTACTCCTGTTGGCTGCATTAATTGTGGGCGTAGCTAGTTACCGTAGTCATTCAATCCCGAGATAGTTGCATTAACTGTGGTTGGTTGCACTAACCGTGGGCGTGGCTAGTTACCGTAGTCGTTCAACCCTGGGGTTAGTACTCTTGTTGGATGCATTAACTATGCGTGTGGTTAGTTGCCTTAGTCATTTAACCCCGGAGCTACTACACGTAAATTTTATCGAGCAGTCCTGCATACATGAGGAGATACATACTAGCGCGGTGGTGTTATAGCACTACAAAAGTTCATATATTCGAGCTACCGGTATTCTCGGATTTGCCCTGTAACATATCCAATTCTCTACACCATTCGATTCCTCAGAACCCCTGGATTCAGAATATTAGATATTTTGTTGAACAGTTCTGCTTACATGAGGAGATGTAGCTATTTTTTAAAGCTATCTCAAAAAGCGCAGAGGCGCTCATTCAATACATTGTATCATTATAAATCAATGAATACATTACTATAGCGTACTCTCAGGTTTGCCCGGTAACATATGAATTTCTTTACATCATTCGATTCCTCAGAACCTCTCGTTTCAGAATAACATATATTGAGCTGAGCAATAATGATTACATGAAGAGATATAGCTATTTTCGCATTTCTGTAGGGGTTGCCATCTTGGAGCCTACCGTACTCTCATCTTTGCCCACTAACATATGAATATCTTTGCATCGTTCCATCCAGCGGAATCACGCATTCGGAAAAAATATTTTGCCGAGAGATTTCGCTTAGTTGAGGATATATAACTACTTTCTTAAAGCCATCTAAATTAGCGTAGAGGCGCTCATTCTTATAAATTGTATCTCTTTAGATCAATTGTACACATTATTGTAGCGCTATAGGCGTTACGATCTTCAAGGTACCGGTAATCTCAGGTTTGCCTGGTAACATCTGAATTTATTTACACCGTTTGATCCAGCGAAACCTATAGATTCAGAATAACATATATTTTGATGAGTAATTCGGCTTGCTTGAGGAGATATAGATATTTTCTTAGTACTATCTCAAGGCTGTGCGGCTGCCACCTTCAAACCTGCCGTACCCTCAACTTTGCTCAGTAACATATGGATTTCATTACACCAATCGATCCGGCGGAATCTCTCCATTCAGGAAAACATATATTTTACTAAACGATTTTGCTTTCTTGAGGAGTTATGGCTATTTTTCTGGACCTATCTCAAATTGCGCAGTCGTGCTCATTCACATTAATCACTATAGATCAATCAATACGTTCATATAGCAATATGCGGATTGCCATCTTCGAGCTATCCGTATTCTCAAGTGTGCCCGGTAACATGCAAATTTCTTTGCACCAATCGATCAAACGGAATGTCTACATTCAGAAAAATATATATTGTG